TATATATATATATATATATATATATAGGGTCACGCTCCGGTGAGAATGACTCTTAATGTGAGAAATGAGAATAAATCGTAGTCATTGGATCTGATGATCTAATGGCTAATAAAAAAGTCAAATTTATACCTTCATTAAGGGTATTATGGTATTTTTACACACCACATTACAAAAATGGGTCCCAGTCCAATTTAATAAAAATCGGTCAACTGCCAACCCACCACACCTACCCACACATTATCTCTCCCTCTCTCTCTCACACATACACACACACCATCAGATACAGATACACACACAGTTACATATGTATAATTGCCGACATGCTCATCTCCAACCTCCACCGACGAACCACCCATCGCCGCCGCACAGCCGCCAGACGTCGACGTTCCTCCGACACACACACACACACACACAGTTACATACACAAATACACAGTCGCTGGCATCCTCATATCCGACCTCCCACCGCCGAACCACCATTCGCCGCCGCACAGCCACCAGACATCGGCGTTCCTCCGTCGCACCACCATACGTACTCATTCGCAAAAAATACACACGCACACAGAGAGCACCATCGTCACCCACCAGCCCCGCCGATCGCCGCCGTCCACTGCTCGCCGCAGTCCCGCCGCAGATCTGTTACCTGCCACACCTCAATCGCGACGGGAGAGGCTTCATCGCGACACCATTGTCGTCATCCACTCCTCACACGCTCAGTCCGACAGTCCCATTTCTCGACCTCTGCCGCCGACCCGTCGACCTCCGCCGCCGACGCCTCGACCTCCGCCGCCTACTGAGATCGAACCACGCCCTCTCCGATGCAAGATGTGTTGATACGGGGCAATTTCAATCTCTAAAACTGAATGTGTGATTGGGCATGTTCTTTGAGAATTAGATTAACTATAGGGTCTTATTTGCAATTTTAATAATTTTAGTTATATTCAATTTAACCCCTAGGTCAAATCTATAATTAATGAAAGTTAATAAAAAATGAGTTTATATATATATATATATATATTTGACTTGTCTGTACACGCGATATAAATATCAATCTTCCACCGGATATGTTTAAACTATCAGCATATATATTAAAAATTAAATAAAATATTAAATAAAAATAATATAAATATTAAAAAAATAAAAAATAACTTATAATAATAAATAAATTATATAATAAAAATAATAAACAACACAATATCTTAATTATTTAATTTAATTCGATGTACGATTATATATGTTAAAACTATTTTTTAATACACATAATTTATCTGGTAAGGTATAAACTAGTGCACCTTATATTACAAAATGTTGCACTTTATAAAGCAACATGTTGCACTCTATAAAACAACATGTTGCACTTTATAGCCATATTCCACAATTAATGTCAACAGCTCACGCAAAAAATATTACGCAATATAAAATTAAAAAGCAGGTCTACGTGGTAATTTAATATCCATCACAAATCTATTCACAAAAAATATAAGCATGCTAACATACCAAAATTATAATAATTTAATTTATACATCATCACGTTGCACTTTATAAAACAACAAATTGCGCTTTACAAAATAACATAATGCAATTTATCACGATTGTCAGATTGCACACTATATAATACAAATAATAATTAATATATTTTTTATGATATAAATAATAAATTAGTTTGATTATTTAGATTAATTTGACTAACCAACCACATAACTCAATGATTTCGTTCAATCTATATATATATAATTACTAGCTAATAACATTTAATAAAACCTATTTAATTTTACCTATGTGGCAGTTTAACAATTTTCCCACCAAAAACCGTTACATTTTGATGTATTTAATCTTTCATTTAATTATTAAATAATTAATACTCATCACTTCAAAATTACAAAAATCATTTAAAACTTTTGATTAATGACGGTTGACCATATAATGTGTTGACCGTATAATGTGATTAGATGTTATTATTGTTGTTACATTTAATTTTTTTTTAAATAAAAAATATATTTGAAATTCCTAAATAAATAATAAATAATTCACAAATAAAAGACGTACCAAAATATACATTACATCCCAGATAAACGCAATTTAAAAAAAAATATTACAACTCTTTTAATTGTAAATTTGGTATGCAAAAAAATGAAAGAAAAATAATTAATCATTATATGCATACAGACTCACAATAATTTATTTATATCTGTGCATTTGCACAGGTCGAATACTAGTTTCAAGTTGATTTTGCACAAATAATAATAATAATAGTAATAAATATACTTTTATAATAATAAATAATAATCTATTTCAATTATTTAGTTTAATTCAATGTACAATTATATCTACTAAAATATAGTTTTCAAGGACGCACAAACATATGCGGTTATATAAAGTAATGCACTTTATATATCAGCACGATGCACTTTATAAAACAACACGTTGCACATTATAAAACAACATGTTGCACTCTATCGTTACACTGCACGATTATCGTCACCAACTCACACCAAAAAAATACCACACAACATAAATCTAAAAAAACGGCTATACATAATATTTTAACATCAATCAGCTCATTTACACACACAAAAAACACAAGCATGTTAATGTACCAAATGACAGTAGTTCACTTTATACATCATCACGTTGCACCATATAAATCAACACATTGCACATTACAAAACAACAAGTTGCACTTTATCACGACTGACAGTTTGCACAATAGGGATCGAAACTGACCGAACTCAATTTTTGTTTTCAACCAAATATAATATGAAATTATAAACATATTAAATATAAATAACAAATTATTTTTATTATTTAAGATAATTCGGTTATCCTACCCGAATAAACCAATAAATCATGTTCATTTACAAATAGAAACATATTAAATACGCATCATTATTTTTATAATAAATAATATAATTTATGTCGGTTATTTTAGTTATTTATGTTGACCGACAAATTAATCCGATTATATCGAAATTTTCAATTTGGAGTTTTATTCGAATTTTTATATTGCATTTTTATTATTTAATTTTTTTACTCTTCAAGCACATATATATACACAATATTGTGCAATTCATCTATCGAAAAAATGAATTATTTATCAAATTTTTAATAATTACACATACACATATGACATAATTTATTAAGTACACACATACCCACAATATAGTCCATTTAATGTGTCATTAGTGGGCATAATTAATCATCATTAAATCATAAATTGCCATCTATAAATAAAAATATACATATATTGAAAGTTTAGAAATTGCAAAATAGTCCCTCAAGCCTATCTAATTTCCCAAATCAAACCCCATCCCCAAAATCATAATCCCGTCACTCTCCCGTCGATCCTCTTCAGCCACCTCGCCGTTGTCAACCACCGACCGCCGGAGTCATCGTCGGCCTGCCGCATCTCAGCCATCCGCGCCACCGCTACATGTACCAAAATAAGCCCCAAAATCCGCACAAAACATAAAAAAACGAATATGTTGAAATTCACTCGATACCGACTGGTACTATGTCGAAATAGGCTCGTCGCCGGCACATGAACGGGAGGTCACCTGAGCCTCCGCCTCGTAGGCTTCCTCGTCGACGCCTCCTGCGGAGAACAAAATGTGAGCGGCGGCGCCGCAGGTGAGCTCGACGACCACCCGCTCGGAGCGGTAGGGGAGGGATGCAGAAATGGGGTCGAAAGCGCGGAAGATTCATATGCAGTTCGTCGGCCGGCGATGAGGAGATCGGCAGGAGGATTTGATTGCCGACATTCTACTCGTCGGATTTCGCCGGAGACTATTGCAACACGGCGGATGCGTGGCGGAGGCGCGGGTGGTGGCTGAGCTCAATATACTAGCGAACCGTCGAGAGGGAGAGGAAATGGCGAGCCGTCGAGACAGAGAGGAAATGAGAGAACAGATCGGGCAGCGATGGAGGAGGAGATATAAGGTGGAGAGAGAAAGTGAATTGTGTTTGATGATGTGGGCCCCACTTAATTGGATGGGTGTATATAAAATTATACATTTACCCTTATATGTTTTAATTTGACCAAGATATATCAAATTATTTACCATATTGCCATTAATGATTGACCAAATTTGACGTAATTATATCCATTGATCGTACCGATCCAATGATCTGTAATCATTCTTATTTCTTTCATTATCTATCATTCTCATATGATCCCTTCTCTCTGTCTATATATATATATATATATATATATATATATATATATATATATAGATAGGGACAACAAAAAGAGCGAGAAATACAATTTAAAAAAATAGTAACACTATCAATAACTACTTCAAATGGTAATTAAGACTATATTGATTTTGTAAAATTAAAAGTATGTTGAAGCATTTAACATAGTAAAAACAGGATGATAAATTATAAAATATACACATTAATTTAAGTTGACAAGTGACATAAAATTATAATCATAGTCACTAATTTATAATGACAAATATTTTTTTTAATATTTTTTTTTTCAAAGGAGTATCAATTGTTTATGATGACAAATATAAACGGTTGCAATTGAAGAAAATATTCACTAACAAACATATTTTCTAGTTATGCCTATACTAAAAAAGAATCCAATAGACAAGATTAACATGTACTCTTTAATTTTATCACGATTTTTAAATATTGTGGTTATTTGAAAATTATGTTTCAAACTTTGAACACATTTACTACAATTCATCATGTAAAAAACTTTCATTATTAATTAAAAATAGTAATAAAAAAATGAATGCAGTATATAAATATAAAAAGACATATAATTTAAAAACCAAAGAAATAGAAATCATTTATCACGTGTATTGCACGTACACTTTACTAGTATTAATACAAACAAACATAAAAATATTTTAGTCCACGAAATAGGTGGAATGTGTTGAACTGAGTACAAAAACACATGTAAACACAAGGGGCACGCCCCCTATTAAGTAGAGGGCTTTATTCCGTAGTATGAAATCTTCACCGCACCATTATTAATTTCACATTCATCCCACAAGAAAATTGGCAATCCAAACAAACGGTAGCCAAGCACGCTGCAAACACGGCTTTATTCACAATTTACACGTACAAAAATATATAATTTAGAGTATATATAAAGATGAAATATACTCAAAGGTTGGACCCACTCAAATATTTTATTATGTGAGTTCCACAAAGACACTGTGAGTATATGAACATCATTATATACACTGACATGGTGTTTGGCTTTGTTTTTAGTTGATGAGAAGAAAAGCATCCACAAGTGTAGTAATAGTGATTGCCAATGGAATATAAAGCTCAGGAGGTGGGGTTAAAATCGTAAGTTTCTCAAAGGCAAAGGTCCACTTGGCCAAGCCCTCACTGGCGTTGAGTGTGAAACTGAAGCTTTTGTATAACCTCATAAGATCTCCACCGATTACGGCGATTGTGAGGGATTTTTCAGCATCATTTATGGCTTCTATCCTCTCCTTCGCGGTCATTGGAATTCCACCTACACTTGAACAAGATATTGTATAATTCATTACATGATAAATATTTGAAGGAATTTTAACTATTTCATCCCTCCAAGTCCTCCCATCTATATATATATATATAATTGCTAGCTAATCTCATTTAATAAAACATTTAATAAAAATATTTTCACTTTTCCTCCAAAAGAAGTTACATTTTTTTAATTAATTACTCATTAATCTCACATTTAAGAAGGTTTTTTATAGTTAAATTTAACTAGTTAATGACTAAATTAAAAAGATTTATTTTAATTAATCCCACATTTATGTTAAGTACAATATTATCTTAACATCTTATCAGTTTTTCAAAAAAATAGTAACTTTTTTCAATAAATTTTATAAATTAGTCAAATGTGCTTATATTCATATAAATCAGAAAAAAATATTAAATCTTAGATATATAAAAAGAACATCGTTGAAATAACTTGAATCCGCAAGGGTAATTCTATACTCATTATCAATTACTTTAAATTTTTTGTATATATAAAAAATTAATATTATATTTACTCATTTATATTTAGATAGTATTTTTTTTATTAAGAAGCAAGGACAATCTCTATCAATCAATAAGAGTCAAGGACAAACAATATAAAGAAGTGTTTCACATGCTATGACATGATCAATAAGAGTCAAAGACAGTCTCTGTCGCACGTCGGCTTACTACTAAAGAGTTCTGCATTTAGTCATGAGCAATTATACGTGGCGCTTTTTAGAGTTACGAGTCACTGGAGTTTGAAGATTTTGATTTGAGCTGAGGGAGATTTTGACGATAGAAAAACCACGACGTTGTTTTATAAAGAAGTGTTTAAGAATATTTATATTTTTTTCTTAATTTTTTTCAGTGAATTTGTTATGATTTTTACTATTGTTTATAATTTTTATTATTTTTTCATGTATCATATAGTTTTCCGTGCAAATGCACGGGACAAAAACTAGTTGAAATGAAGGTACATTTAAAATTAAATAAATGTATCTATTAGGCCAATCTGAGGTCTTCATTTGATTTATTGAGCCGATTGAGAATTTCCAAAGCAAATCAAGATTATATTAGTCAATAAATATTATTACCAAATGTTTCCATACAGCTTAAAAGTTATATTAGTCAAACTATTATGGAATTACCGAGTTAGTTTTCGCAATATATTTGGAATGTCCGAACCTAATATTATTGATTTAGAATAATATTATTTTTTATTCAAACTAAATTATAACGAAACATGTTTTTTCACCAAGTAAGATTCTGAAGCGCGTGAAGCTGCGACTTAGGCTCAACATTCTGCAATTATATACAGGGAGATTTGATTTTGACGGATAAATTTTATGATTTTCCAATCAATGTGAATAAAGAACAACCATGATAATAATTAATAGAATATCACTAAAAATTACGAAAATAATTGAAAAATAAAAGATACTCTTACCAAGAACATAGCTCCAGAGCTTGACACAACCGACAGTCGCTTCTTCACCTTCGAGCACCTGAACTCCTTTAAAGCAGGCCGGAAATACCTTGACGAGGTCGTTTATGTCATATTTAAAGAAGTTGTAAAATTTTTCAGGTGTACTTTTAATTGGTGAGGTGGCCACAAGTGTTTCTATCACGTTTGCCATAATTAACTTGCAACAAATAGATATTACGACTTTGGATATTCGTGCACTTATTTCATGACTAAAATTAAGCTAAATTTATAGTAGCAAAAAAGAGGGGAGAATTATTAATTATTGCTACTTGCTGTGTAAATGATGTAACCTTTCAACTAGAACCTATCTAATAAGAATAAATGAAATCAGGAAAATCTCTGCGAATGATTCGATGTACACATTATATGATATTGTAATTGATAGTGTGGGTCGCGTTATAATTTCGGATGTCTCACTAAAAACGACGTATAATGAAATACAGTGTTCAACTTATATGACAGTACAATATAGTAGAGTTGTTTATATATATAAAAACATAATTAAATAAAGAAGAATACAATAATTTTTATTTGAGGAATATTATATTATAATTAAACATAATTATAATTATATACATGAATACAGAAAAATGTACGGGATATATATAGTACGTGACCTGTGTGAGGCACGGATATATTTATTTGAGGAATACTATATTATAAGATGCAATATTCAATAAAAGTTTTATAATACGCATGAAAATTATACAATAAGATAGTATTCGACAAACAAACAATCATATATTATTAAAGACCACCTTGTACACAACATTATGAGTTTGATTTTCCATACAATAATAATAAGATTTTTTGTAAAAAGATAAGAAGGAATTTTCAATCTACACAAACTTTAAACATTAGATATATTTACGTAAATCAATGACTATATAGACAACTAAACCCTTCAATTTAGGCTTGACATCTACTTTATTTATGGGTGACGTAAAATAAGAATTCAATTTTGACTGATTAAATCTTTATTCATAGGCTTGACATATAAAACTGATTTGATGGAATTTTCTTAACTAAACCGATGCTATGGGATAAAACAAATCTATACTTACCTTTGACTTTTCCAATAAAGGTAAAAAAATCTGTTCTGATTTTTATCCCATAACAAATCTTTAATGTCAAGCCTATAAATACCAAAACAAATCTGTAATTAATATCATTCTATTTCCAACAAACATTAATTACCTTTGACTTTTCTGCCTACTATTTCTAGTAAATAGGATGACTTTTTATATAAGTATAGATTTCATATAATGCAAAGACTGAGATCATAAAAAAGAGTCCTAAAAACTGAAACAATATATTTGCATAATTTAAGGCCATTAAGAAATCGATATCTAAACCAGATTTGATTTTCAGAATATGTTTTTTCATTTCGAATTCCATACAAAATGGAATTCTTTCCAACCAATAGATGTCATAGCAAATATTAACTCTTAACTATTAGACTATTAGTACATACCGAGCAAATTGTGTACTGATTTTAGAAAGTTAAAATGATTCATGTTAGGTAATTTTACATTTTATGCATGTTGAACGGTGGGTTTTAAACATCGTTTCATAGAATGTAAAAGTGTATTATATTATTTTTATGAAATGTTGACTTTGAAAATTAATAGAATTCTTCTTCATAGGAATTTTAAATGTAACAATATTCTTTGGTATACACTACTAATAAAATCTATATTTAAATTTTATATTTTTTTTTTACCGGAAAAAATTCCTTAATTTAAGGAATCATATATCTTCAATCAGTCAACATCTATATACATTCTTCACAATTTTAAATCTTGAATTTGATGAGAATTCGTATCTATGAGTGCAAAACATGGTTTAACAAATTATTTTTTTATTATTATTCCAGTCATACTTCTTTATACGATTTTTTGTGAAAATACAAAAGTAAATTCTTAATTTTAAATCAGCCGTACATTAAAGAGTACAAATTTGTTGAAATTACAAAAATAGTTTTTTACTTTTAAACAGACGTAAATTTAAATCAGTTATAAAAAAGTAATATTTGTTTACCATTTAAATATTAAATCAGCCGTAATTAATGTTGTTTGTTTTAGTTGCCACAATTTTCTCCAAACTAAAATTAACAACTGTCATGATTTAAGGGCAACATTTAATGCTGCTCTATTTTTAGGAGACATTAAATGTATTTGGCGGGAAAAACTTGCTAAAAGTGTTAAATGGTTAATCTTTTAATATAAACAAATATATACTTAACTTTGACAAATAAAACAAATAAATACTTTAGTAAGTATTTAATGTATATACTAAATAGGAATATATTTGGTATAATCAAATACCAAATATAATCACATAAGTCAAAGTGTACATTTTTATTTGGTATTTAATTTTTTTTATTATTAAAATTTTTTTATTATACTTACCTTTTTAAAATAAAACAAATAAATAAATCAATTAAATAAATAAAATATTATAATACCAAAATAGTAATGATATTTAATGCAGTTGACTTTTCTGAATAATAAATGTAGTAAATAGAATATCCTTTTATATAATATAATACAAAAATAGTAATGCAATAAATGCTGTTGACTTTTCTGGTTACTTAATTTGGTAAATAGTACCCCCTTTAATATAAGTATANTGAATTATTGAAAGCAAATGTGAATTGTGCACACTGCACACTCGTGAATAATGTACTAGAACGAAGATTGAATAAATTATTGGATGCATTATTTAAATGTCGGATTTTAAATAAGGTCCTGAAGATTTGATTACATGTACTACATGCACAAATTAACTACTGAAGTGGAAGGTAAATTGTAATGTAGAAGGCTTGTAAATGAAGTGGATGGTTGTAAATAGTGGGCATAGGCTCCGTTCAAGAAAAAGGTTTAATAAAAACATTAAACGCGCCATCAGTTCTCTCGTATTGGAGTTTCTTCTCCCACTATAACTCACGTTCTGGAAATTTAATTAAAAATATTATTTTAATTGAGGGCTTTGCTTTGTCATTCCCCTAAAGAAAGAACAATTCTTTAAAAGTCAAATTCTCTACTTGCTGTAATGCAGACTCTGCAGCTATCATCAAAGAGAGCCTTGATATTTGTCATGAAGCAAGAATTTATATGAAATAAGTTGTGTCGAATTACCTACTTGCTGTACAACTTCAAATCCAATTTCATTCCTATAAGAGAGCCTTTATATTCTTCTTTTTTGTTTTGAGAACTTGTAATTAGGATCATCAGCTGTGGTTCAGTAAATTCTTGACTCTTGAATATTTTAATTTGTTTGAGAGACTCCATTTTTTTCCCTCTTCAACCACTAAACTAGACTCATTCATGTACGGGAAAAAAAAAAGGTAATCCATATTGAGTAATTGAACTTTCACGGTACATCAATACATGCATAAACTTACTGCATCACCCAGCAGATTCAGAACCAACTTGAATGGCCAAGAATCCATGAAGCTAGCTCCCGAACAAAAATGGCAAGCAAACAATCAACAGATTTCATGCATATTTCGATTGTTCTGCCTGAACTGCTAATAAAAGTAATGTATAACTTTGCACTCAACAAATTACAAACCGATTCTCAAGCACATTCATTTTCTTCAGTTTAATTATATCATTTGGCATTTACCCAATAGAACGTAAGGGTTACAAGATTTCATGAGAAGCCAATGTAAATACTAGACTCAATTCGAAAGTTCAGTACCATATACAAAACATCAGCCAAGTTAATTTAATTTATCACTGTCATATAAAAAAATCACAACCCATCAATTTCTTACTTCTCATAGCGACAGTGATGCAGCCGAAACCTTATATTTCAGAAACATTTCATTATTTTCTAAAAATATTTGAAGCTGAAAAGACCAAGTAAACGGGGCCTAGTTTATAAACCAGCGTGAAAGAACAATGTGTAAAAGCTATCAAGTCAAACTTATCACCCATAGGGCACCTATAATCTTCGAAGTCAGTGCCTGAACATAAAGCAACCAATATAAATCACCAAAAGATCAAAATATCGAAGGACACATAACAAACAAAAAAATGCAAGACCCATGTCACATACCATTTAATTTGATTATTCACGACCAGAGTTCGAAAGCAGAACACACACATCACACTCACAACTTGCTAGCAACAAGATGTCAATAATGCCCCTTCCACTTACGTAAAAGCTCCTCATACGCAAACGCCTTACCCGCTTTCGACAGGCTCTGCTTCAGCTTCGAAAGCGTGGCTGAGTTCAGCTTGATCCCACGCTCGATCATATCCTCCGCGCACTTAACCGCCTCTGGAACTCGACTCATTTCCCGAAGGCCCACCACCAAAAGATTACCCGTCTCTTCCAAATCCGAATGGTAGTTCTCTACCATACATCTCCACACCTTAATCCCCATATACGGGTCCTTCGCATCCACATACTCCTTCACTGCCACAATGCAGTCCTCATGTAATGGCACAAACTCGTTTTTCACCATCTCCTTGAACAGAGGAGTTGCCTCCTTCAGTCGCCGGTGCTTGATTAGAAAATGGAACATAAGCCCGTAAGTTTCCGAATCTGGAAAAGCCCCATTATAGACCATCTCATCAAGTAGCCTCTCAGCCGAGTCAAAATCCTTCATGTTACAATACAAGGAAATCAACGACTTATAGGTTTTTATGTCCGGGAGGCAGATTTTTTTCCCGACCATGATCTCCCAAACAGCTCTAGCACATTTCGAGTCGCTTTTCCTCACGCACTCGTCAATCGCTAATTTGAAAAACCCTTTTCCAGGGTAACAGCCTCTGTTCTTCATGGTGTCGAGAAGTTTCAGAACCTCGCGTGTGCCGTCTACATCTGTGAGGAGTGTACACAAGAACGATTCATAAGCGGGAACATTCCTCGAGTCCCAACCAACATCCGCCACCATATCCGAGAAAGTGTCTCGAGCTCGATTCACGTTACCTTCTTTTTCCCAACCCTTGAGCAGAATCGCATATGTGTCTCCATTGACCCTGATTTTCTGCTTGGCGAATAACATAAAGTCCATGGCCTCCCAGGTTTTTCCATCCTTGCAAATGGGGTCTAGCAAGGAATTCAAAGCAAGGACGTCCCTGGGAATTCCGTATCTGTCCATGGCCTCGAAACTCATGATGGCGTCCCGCACACGGCTGTCCATCACGTAGCTGCTGAAAACTGAGGAGAATGTTGATAGAGAGAGAAGCATTTCTTTTGCCATGGATCTAATAGCATCCCACATTGCGTCATATAGAGAGTTTTTTCCCAACAGGTCCACGACTAGGTTCCAGGCGTACTCGCTGTTTTTGCCGTTCAGCTGCAAGCTGGACCACCGGAAAAACTTCACCGCCGGGCCTGGGTGTCTGTACGAGAGTTTGAGGACCTCCTCGACGTCAGCTTCGGAAACCCTAATCCCGGTGTCCTCGAGGACCCTCTCCACGGTGGCGCTGGGAGTTTCGGCCACGATTTGGCACAGGACTTTGAGCTTCGGGGGCAAGGAGGGTACTTCGGTATAGGAAATGAAATTCAAGCGCTTACCTGTAAACTCACGATGTGGGTTGCGGTGTGGGGGGTGGTGATTGTTCGCCGGAAAATCGGAGGCCGGGGAGGTACTGCGGTGATAGTGGTGGTGGTGGTGGTGGCGGCGGGTTTTACTTGAACCGATCTTGGATGACGGGGAAGAGGACGAGTCTTCGCCATGGGATCTTTTGAGAGCACTCCTCATGGCTCTGATCTTTTGCTCATCAGGAAGGAGACGGGAGAATTATTGGGGAAATTAAGCAGTCATTTTGGAGCCCTAATTACGATTGAAAGGGGTTTCTCGAACTGGATCTTCACAGAGGATTTTGAGGTGGTTGTTTTAAGACGAGAATAACCTCGAATTTGTTTCGATGCGGATTTTGTAGGGCTTGATCGATATAAGTTATTTGGGTGGTAGTTTTTAAACCGGTTCGGGAATCGACCCGAGCAGGTCTCCGAGTCATCGGGTCATAAGTTCAACCGTCAGGTTACCGGGTCAATTGTTGAACCGGATAATTAATTTTAATTTTTTTAAATTATATATAGAGTAATTTGTCATTAAATATACATAAAAATAACAAAATAAATATTTTGTAAATTAAAATGTTAATAATATGTATTTCATGATAAATATTTATCATATAATATATATATACATAATTTTATTTTTTAAAAACAAAGATTATTTTAAAAAATACAAAAAGAATATAAAAAAATATAAAGAGGTTGGGTCAATGCCCTGGGTCAAGGCTGGTTGGCCAGGTTTTGACCGGGTCCTTTGTTGTCCGGTCTGAATAGCCCACCCGGACTAGTTCCGGCTCCGGGTCAACCTGCCGAGCCGGTCCGGGTTGAAAAACATTGATTTTGGTTTTAATTTTGAAAAAGTTATTTCTATTAGGTTTAATTGGAATTTTATGTTTGCATTAAAGTAATATTTAAAATATAATAATTAAAGTTAATTTGATGTAAATGAAAGATGTAATTACTAACGATAATTATTAAAATTATGTTAGTGTATCAATAATAATTAAAGGATATTGATAATATTGATAATTGTTGGATTGAGTTAAATTTGAGGTAAATTTGAGTTAAAAAAATTATATGATCAAAATTGACGAGATAATTTGTATCCAATCAGTGTCTTATTCTCTACAGGCTACAACACATTGCTTTGGGTAAGCACGTAAACTTCAATTTCACTTCACATCAAAATTTTCACAAAATGTTTGTGTTACATATATATAAGCTAGGAGTGCTACAATCTATTTCACTTTTTAGTACAATAAAATAAAATGGTACATATTATTATATAGAATATGCTACAAGTACATAATAAATATACATAGAAGTGTACATAACACTCACACAGAGTGGAGTCCACTTGATTTTTTATTTTTGGTAAGTCCCACTCAATGTGAATGTTATGTACACCTCTATGTACAATATTATGTACTTATAGCATTTCTCTTATTATATAGGTATATAGCTTCTCTCTCCTTGATTTTTTCCCCTATTCGCAGCCGCAGCAGCAAACCCTCGTCCCAATTTCTCTGGTTGTGCCTCCCTGCCACCCCTTCGTCGACCAACTCCTGGGTCGGCGACAGAGTCTCCTGGTAGGCCTTTTGTCCCCTTTCGGCATGGTGCTTCACCTTTACCTTGGTTGGCCCTGGTGAGGTGGGTGGGTTTTCATCGGCTTGCAGGGAACGTCGTTGTGGTGGGCTTCGGTCGCTGTCCGGTGGCGACGGCTGGGACTGAGGCAGGGCTTGGCTTTTCCCCTGTTCATTCCCTCCCAGCTCCCTGGTGTTGGGTTGGTTGGTTCTTCCGATGTGGTGGCTCCCTTCTACGGCCGAGTGGGTTTGCGGTCCCCGGTTCGTGTTGGGGGTGGAGTTAGTCGCGCGTCTCCAAGTGTCGTTCCGATGGTGGCTTTCTGGAGGATTTTCGGTCCTTTGATCTAGATAGCCCGGTAGGGGAACTTCTGACTTGTGTGTTAGGCTAAGGGTTGGTTCGGTCCTTGGGTCGTCGCCTTGGTTTTTTTGGATCGAGCGGTGTTGGTTTGGAGTGGCTTCAGTTGGTGAGGAGAGCCTAAGTTTAGCTATTAATTTTACTTTTGTGTTTGTGTGTTTGTTGTTGTTGTAGTGTTTTTTTTTATTCCGTTTGGGACTGTGGTATTATTCTCCCGTTTGGGAGTGTTGTGTATTCTCCTATGTGAGAGCAGTTATTCTCGACTCGCGAGAGTTATTTAGTTTGTGTTTGTGGGTGTGTTGTTGTTTAGTTGTGTGAGTTCTAGGCTAGATTCGGGTTTGTCCTCCCACTAGATTCAGCTCTATAGCTACTTGAGTCAACTGGCTCCAGTCCATAAACCGAGCTAGTCTTGACCGGTTCTACTGAACTATTCTTATGTGCTATATCACTAATGGAATTCCAACGGCAGTTCTAACAGAAATTTCAACGAAAATATTCCGTTTAAATGAGTTTTCATTGAAATTCCTGTTGGATTTTGATAACTCCAACGATATATTTGAAACATGGGTGGAAACAAAAATTTCAACAGAAATCACACATTCCAACGAAAATTTCTACGGTTATAAACCATTGTAAAAATAGTCGTTGGAATCGTTGAATTTCAATTAAAATTCTAATGAAAAACTCATTAGATTATCCAATAGAATTTTCATTGGAGTACATTAATTACCATTAATTTTTCTGTTAGGAATATGATATTTTATTCATATTGCAAAGGGAGATTCATTAATATTTGAACCAAAACTGCTTATATCAAAAGTACAAAAGTACTACTTTTAGATAACATCTTTTTCAGACCACAACTTTCCAAAGAGTACTACAGGATGCTGATTGCTGAGCATCAAAACATCAACTCCCACGATATACACATTATTTGCTTCTTTTGAACTTGTATTCCGATTTTGGCACGAAAGTTAGGTTCTATTGTTTGGTAATTGAGCTTCAATCCTTCAAGTGACGTATGATTTCATTGGGAAGTGGAGTTTCGGTCCCTTTGAGAGGCAAGAATAACATCAATTGCTTCCCTAACTTGAGAAAGATCTGGAGCTTTTCCACCTTGTGCTGGCCAGAACTCATCAGTTGCCAATACCTGCACCAATTAAAAAATATATACATCGAAGACTAACTCCTCACCAATAATCCATGTCACATGAGAGGAAAAACGAAAAGTAAAAAATAAAAAATAAAGAAAAATGCATATTTTCCCTTAAGACTCACCTTCACTTGCAACTGGAGAAACTTAACATAGCTGATTGCCTTCTCTAGCATTGTTACCAAATCAACCTTCATAATGTAACGGGATATATTGAAATTTAGCTTCCTAAAGAATGAATTGGGAAAAATTGAAATGAATAATCAAATATATATATATATATAAACCTAATGTTGTACCTACCTTGGAACCGTTTGGGACAAGATCTTGTAATATCTTCAATCGTTCACTAATCCTTTCCCTTCGATTCTGTATGATAAATGCTCAATTAATGATGCAACTTTAGACTAACCACATATATTTGGACGGTCAAGCAATAAAATTGTAAAAGAGCTAACTCCTTAGTACCTTAGCCGCAACACTTTGTGGATCCTTTGATGTGGACATTGGCTTTGATTTTGACTTCTTTGAATCACTATTACTTGAGCTCACAACACACTGCTTCTTAATAGCTTGCACATTAATTAATTCTCCCTGTAATTATAGTACTCTACAGTTAAAATTTTACATATTAATTATTCAATCTCGTTTATTCCACTTAATTACTAGCTAGCTAATTTTTATACTTAATAATTAATCAGGAATTTATCTTTGCACTTACCATGGATGGACGTTTATTACCACCGTAAATGTAATCGGAGCTGAACCGAATTACCGAATTGCCCTCGTCCGACAACTTGTAATTAGAGTGATGATGATAACCTAAACCGCTGGAGTTTGTGCTGCTTCGGCTAGAGACTGGTGATGATGAGTTCACGAGATTCTTGTTGGCGAGCCCGAATTCATCCTTGCCCGGGCTTTCTTGACAAACACTTAATGAAGAATTTTTGAAATTTTGTTCGTAAAACGCGCTTGCTTGCATGATGGCCATGGTTGATTCATTTGGGGTGTGATTCTTGTTTGCTAAGGCCATTAGAAAAGATATTTAGATCAATATTTGAGTGGGAGAATTTAGTTGAGATTGTTTCAAGGTTATGATTGCAAAGATGGGTGTAAGAAAGTAGCTGTATTTGTTCAAACTTTGTGGCCATCTAACCTTCTATTAATTAATAACATTTACTATTTTCTTAATCACTAAAATATGGCAGCTGAAATGCCGCCGCATCATATGTTCTACGTTTGTATCTTAATATTTTTTTTTTTTTTTGGAATTAATGTGATCAGCTTAATATGCCAAAATTGCAATTCTGCCACCTCTGAAATTTGTTTTTATTCGCTTAAGTTTATTTTGCTTGAGTTAATGAAATATGACTATTATAATACGATGCAAATGGGAATAAAATTTAGCTATTAATTTATTTTCTTATTTTTATGTTATGTACAAATGGAAAAGGTGAATACTCATTTTTCTGAAGGTTGTGCTATACCACCACTCTATTTTGTTTTGTTTGTGTTGTAACACTAAATTTATAGTTCTGTTATTAAAATTTATGATACCAAAATTTTGCTTTGCATGCATGACAGCATTGATTTATATTAGTTATATAAAATCAACTATTCACATGGGCATTGAATTATTATGGCGACATTTCAGCTGCCATGGTTTAATTTGTCTGATTAAAGATTATTTACGAGTTTGTACCAAAAAAAAAAAAGATTATTTACGAGTCAAACCTAAAAACCCATACATAGTGATTATTTCTAACAATTCCATTTTTAACAAATTTTGACTAGGAAAAGACTGAAATTTACCCATACAAATCTAATAGTTTACCCATACAAAACTAATACCATATATTTTTGTGTGACTAAGTCTACAAGTCGTACTTCTTTATATTTTTGAAGAAGCCCCAAAAAACCTATAGCCCAGCCGGACCCTAGATCGGAAACCTTCTCCAGGACTCGAAAACTCGCCTCAGCAAACCACCACCACAGCCCCCCACGCATACTCCAGGGTAGGGCTGCAAACGAACCATGCGGCTCGCGAGTCGCTCGACTCGAGCTCGAACTCGAGTCGAGCTCGAGCCCATATTTTGCCTTGTCGAGCGGCTCGTCGAGCAGTTCGAGATACATGTAAATTACTAAAATATTCCTTTATATATACTAGCATAGGTCCTTAATGGTAATTTTACCTTTCCACTTACAAATTTTCGAGCCGAGCTTGAGCATTTTGATTTCGAGTCGAGCTCGAGCAATTGTATTTTTTATCAAGTTCAGTTTGAGCCTAAAAAATCGAGCTCGAGCTGCTAAAAAAAATAATCAATCCTGCTCGATAAGGCCAATGCTCGACTCGACTCGGCTCGTTTGCAGCCCTACTCCGGGGCCAGCACCCGAGAACGCCACCGCCACCGGAGGACCCGACCAACCCAACACCAGGGGAGGTCGGAAAAGGAAAAGGCCAAAGCCGGACCCTCACCACAGACATCACGAACGCTCGCAGCAAAAGTCGGACACCACGTCTAGCGATCCCCGCCTCATGCTCAACTGCCATGGCGCTCGTATACAAGAGCAGGACCACGTACGGGGAAGGAGGGGCGAAATGGCCACCACGCCGGCGCCGGCAGACCTGGGGCGAGCCGGATGCTCGCTGGAATCGCGAGAAGATGGACCGCCGGAGGGGAGGCTCCTAGATTTAAAGACGGGCAAGAGTTTTTTAATTTGGGGGAGAGAAATTTTAGAGAGAGAGGGAGAAAAAATTGTGATGTGTGGGCCCTGCAAACGAGTCCGCTCGCGAGCTCTAGAGTCAAAGCTCGGCTCGAGCTCAAGTTTGACCGAACTCGAGTCGAGCTCGAGCGGCTCGAGCCCATAATTTGCATTGTCGAACGGATATATGATAAATTACTAAAATACTCCTTGTATATATATGTATCATAATATTAACATATGTACTTAACGGTAATTTGACAAATTTGTTTGAAAATTTTTTAATCGAACTCGAGCTGAGCTCGAGCACTTTGAATTCAAATCGAGCTCGAGCTATTGTATTTTTTTTGTCGAGTCGGGNAAAAATTCAATCCTGCTCGGCTCGGCTCGTTTGCAGCTCTATTACGGATTTTTGCAAGTATTGGCGGATAAAATGTTTGAAAAATTAAATTGTTGAAATTGTGGTTTAATTTATCCTCTTGATATGCACAAGAATATCCAACGTTCAATTAACAGATTACTACACAACCGGAGATTCATTAATTTTTGAACCAAAACTGCTGGCGAGATGTTTTGGGTGCACAATTTTTAGGACTCCAACATTACCACACTATTTGAGGATGTTGAACGAGTATCAAAAGTACCAACAACTTCAAGGATGTGCCCATTTATTTCACTCCATGAAAGTCGTATTTTGATTTTGGAACAAAAGTTAGGTTCTATCGTTTGGTAATTGAGCTTCAATCCTTCAAGTGACGTATGTTTTCATTTCGGTCTCTTTGAGAGGCAAGAATAACATCAATTGCCTCCCTAACTTGAGAAAGATCTGGAGCTTTTCCACCTTGTGCTGGCCAGAACTCATCAGTAGCCAATACCTGCATTTATCATATATTTCGTTATTAAGATATCGCAATTTAGTAAATTGCCCTGATCAATTTAAATCATATATCTGTTGAATGCCTAAATTCGTTAGCTAGTATGATTTATGCGTATTAGAACGTTAAATTTTATTATACATATTCTTGCCTGTGGCGACTTACCTGTCATAGCGTGAAGAACAATTGACATTTAAATTATTAAAATTTCTTACTTTGTTTTATATTTTTTATGAAAGGAAAATTTTATAATAAATTTAACATTTTATAATTGTAGAAAGTTTATGATAATTGAATGGTTGACTAAGTGAATTAATGACCACGAAATTATTAATATTTAATATTTCTGACTTGATTGCGCGCGACAAACACAGTGTAAAACTAACTTAAAAAATAACACAATTCTCAACAAACTAAATAATTGCACCAACATTATAGTAAGAGGTATACACTTTGGCCAGAATTCAGATTCAATAGGTAACAATAATCCAAGTCGCACGTGACAAAAAAATAGAATAAAGAAAAAAAATCTGCATATTATTCTTTAGACTCACCTTCACTTGCAACTGCAGAAACTTAACATAACTAATTGCCTTATCTAGCATAGTCACCAAATCAACCTGCATAAAGTAACAAACCACAACAAACCGCATAATCGAAATTAAACTTAATTCTTGAAGAAAGAAAGATAGAAATAATTAAGAAAAATGAAATAATCAAATTTATAAACCCTAACGTATTATATACCTTGGAACCATTAGGTACAAGATCTTGTAATATCTTTAATCGTTCGCTAATCCTCTCCCGTCGATTCTGCACAACAAATTGTTCGGTTAATGACGCAAACCTTAAACTAAAACGTCAATATTCCTTCATTCGATCCGTTCACTTAATTAGTAAACATGCTTAATTTCATGCTACATGATTAAACAATAAACTTTAAAACGAACTAGATATCATCTATTATATATACCTTAGCCGCAACACTTTGTGGATCCTTTGATGTGGACATTGGCTTTGATTTCGACTTCTTTGAATCACTATTACTTGAACCCACAACACACTGCTTCTTCAGAGCTCGCACATTTTCTCCCTATAATCATAATACCAATAATATTTCAATCGTTATATATCAATCCAAGAAAAAAATATGTTCATAAGAAAATAGTTAATTTCTAAGAAAAACTCAAAGAACAACCCTCAATATACATCTTTCTATTTCAAGACTATTTGTAATATGTATATATATCTTTTTTAAGAAATTGTTAGATCCCGTGTATTTCACTTGTTAGCTAACTGAATATTTTCGGCAAAATTACAGTTTTAGTCCGTTTACTTGTCTAATGTCTTTTTTTGGTACACTAACTTTCTCCGTATTAAAAATTGTATGTTATGCTGCAATCATTTTTGGGATATTACTCATAAAAAATAGTACGTTATGTTGTAATTTATATCAGGACATTATTCTCCGAAAAATAATGAACCATTTTTGGGATTAATGTTCCTACAGTGATACAAATTGCAACATAACGTACTATTATTGATGATGAAAAAAAATTAGTGTATCAAAAACGGACTTTTGACAAATAAACGGACCAAAATTGAATTCCTACCGAATATTTTCGTACTTAAATTAGTTTCTTGTAGTTACTTTGGATGGACGTTTGTTGCCGCTTGCATCATCTTTCTCAAGTTCTTGAATCGTGCCGTGCAGTTCGTCTTCTTCATGCCACATCGGATATCCTTCGTCTTCTTCACACATCATTTTGGAGTATAATAAAGTCCTCTCCACGTTACTATTTTGTTGATAGAAGCCAGAAAAAGATCCACCATAATCGGAGCCGAAGCTAATTACCGAATTGCCCTCCTCATACAAGTTGTTGTAATTAGAAGGATGATAGCCTAACCCGCTGGAGTTTGTGCTGCTTCGGCTTGAAACGGGGGATGAGTTGCTCATGGTCATGAGATTATTGGCGGGCCCAACTTTGGCCTTATTTGGGCTTTCGGGCTCTTGATAAAGACTCTTAGATAAAACGTACATGTCGTTTGAGCTGGTGGAAGCATGAATTAATGATGAGTTTTGGAGATTGTCCTCGTAAAAAGCGCTTGCTTGGATGATGGCCATTGTTGATTCATTTGGGGTTTGGTCCTTGTTTGATAGGTCCATTAGGAGATATATTTGGATCAAGATTTGAGTGTGAGAATTTAGTTGAAAAAGGAGGTAATTGTTTCAAGATTTTAGTTGCAAAGATTGAGAGTGGAAATTAGGGTGTCAAAAAGTAGGTGTAGGTGTTCAAACTTTGTGGACATCTACCCTATATTAATACTACTAACACTTAATTAACACATGGTTTTTTTCCTTGTAATTTTTTTCTATCCTATTTTGTAATATTTTTTCCAAGCTTGGGTCTACTCTCTGAAAAAATATTCTTGGCCATCCTTTACTAAGAGCATTTCCAATGCTATAATGTTGTTACCGAATAAATTTTGACAAAAGTCAATAAATTAAATGGATTGTGAGCTATGTTGGAAAAATATTAAGTTTACAACTATGAATTTAAAATATTATCTTCAATGAACAATGTAGTTTAGCTACAATATTATCTACTTACCAAATGTTAAAATTTTAGAATATGTAGTAAGAAAATTAATTAAATAGTTTAAAATATGTAAGAATAATTTTCTCTCTCTTCTCTTCATTGGCTAGCTAGAGTGTGGAGGAGAATGTGGATAGATCACATTCTTCTCTATGTTGTAAATTAATTTTTGATTATGTCCACATAATCACAACATTTGTGATTACATTGTGCATTAGAGGATGAAATGTTCTGACATTGATAAATATGCTGATGTGAAATATAATTTATCACAATAAAATTTGAGCATTGGAGATGCTCTAAAATATTTATTTTTAAACGTAAATGGAGTAAGTGTAAAATAGATAAACTGTAATTCTTCTTTAATAATTATACTCCTTCTTAAATTTAAAAGAATATTTTTGAAATATTCTTTTATATTTACACTTTTAAATATTACACAGTTATATATTTATTTTTACGAATGCGCATTTTATATATGGTGTATTTTATATATATATATATATATAATTTTCAGCACGGTATGCAAATATTTATCATTCTATTTAAATGCTAAAATATTTTAAAACTATTTTGAATTGATTTTGAAACATTTCTTATATATTTATCTTTTCTACATAATTTAAGTGTTTGTACGAATATTTTGGAAATATTTTAGACACTTGAATAGGCTATAAGTGAAAAGCGTAAAATGACATATTTATTTATGTTATTTTATATGGACCATATTTATTTATGTTATTTATATAAATGTACATTTTCTGTAGCTTTTTATTTAATTAGTTTTTATTATATTACATATAATTATTTTTGCAAAAAATTAAATATATTGAATACATAAATCAATTCCAATAATTGTGAATATATTTAGAAAATGCAATATAAAAAATAAAATACTATATATCTTCATGGCATGGATTAGAATAAAAATAAATTCGTAACAAAAAGCAATATAAATAAAAAGCATAAACTTATCAAATTAGTCATAAAATTGAAATAAAGATGATCACGATTACACTCCGAAGTGCACTAATTGATGATTTGTGAACACACCGACTCCGAGACTAAAGGTGAATTGTATGAATAATTTTTCTTAATTATGTGCGTATTTTCTTAAGATCGTACAGTGTAATTTTTTAATTTTCTAATGAATATTTATTTTTATGGTTTTTCATTTGTACAAATTATTAATTTATAATTTATAATATCATTACATATTTTTCTAATCAAATCTAAAGCAATATAAATAAAAAGCATAAACTTATCAAATTAGTCATAAAATTGAAATAAAGATGATCACGATTACACTCCGAAGTGCACTAATTGATGATTTGTGAACACACCGACTCTGAGACTAAAGGTGAATTGTATGAATAATTTTTCTTAATTATGTGCGTGTTTTCTTAAGATCGTACAGTGTAATTTTTTAATTTTCTAATGAATATTTATTTTTATGGTTTTTCATTTGTGCAAATTATTAATTTATAATTTATAATATCATTACATATTTTTCTAATCAAATCTAAAACAATAAAAGTGATCTAATTTGCAACTTGTGAAATATGTAGGTAATATTTTAAAAATGTAAATATTGATGGGAAAGATAATATATTTGAATATTCTTTTTAATTTGATAATGAGTTTTTCGGTTGATGATAAATTACTTTTTGTTTTATGTGACGTTTATACAAAATGAGTTTGAGAATAAGCTTTTTGGTTGTAGATGGTGTTAGATAACATAATTGTTAAATAATTTTAGAAAGAATAATAAAAAATAAAATAAAGAAAGCGATAGATCGGCATGAGAGAACTTATGGGATTAAAGACAAAAGAGAAGAAGGAAATCAACAAGCCACGCCAGTTATATCGCCATGGCCACATCCGTGATTTCTACCGAATTAGTTTAAAATTATATTATTAGAGAAAGTTTGTCAGAGAATTAATAAAAAAATTAAATATTCAAATATAAATTTTTATTTTAGTTATAAATATTTTTAAACAAATTATATAATTATTTTTGTTAAAAATGAAACATGTGACACTTGCTAACTAATATAATAATTTTTCCAACTAGAATGATATAACAGATTTGATATATTTACTTAATTATGAGTAATATAAACCAATTTTCTTTTCAATTAGGATTTAAGTTTGATATAATTTAATTTTTATTTTCAAGGATAGATCTAATTATTTGTTAATCTTATTTATCTGATACAATTCATAAAAAACTGATAACAAATAAAATAGTTGTTAGGTTTTAAAATATACTAGTAATCAACCTGTGCATTTGCACAGAGAAGAATACTTTAAAAAGATAACAATATAAAAAAAATCATAATTTAATTCATGAGAAAAAAAATATAAATTAAGAAAATAATTTTCAAAATTGATTTTGATCAAATAATTGCTATGGAAGAGCCGTTACAATTATTTTCTTTATGCTAATACACTCGGCCATTTTCATGAGTGGGTGACTTACAATTTGATTACAGTTTTGTAACTCCCTTGATTGGCTTATGCTCATAATTTATGTCATTCAAGCAAGCTATTTTGTAACCTAAAAATGAAATTGAATGCTGAAAATTTTGGAGGGAGAATAAAATTTAATGCATGATAATAAAATTAAATGCTTTGTTGCTCCTCTTTATATATATATAGATTTAAAATTCAATTTAAACATATTTTTTTTAATTTTAAAGTATTAATGACATACATAAAAGTCACTACTCCAAAGTACTAAACATTTTTTTTTTTCGNGAAAAAAAAAATAAAAGCAAAATAATAATATGGTTTGTGATTTTGGAAAAATTTTCATTAATTAATCAATTCACAAACATTATGACCAAACATATGAGTAAGATAACATTTTTTATATGTCTTGCATTCTTTATATTTCTTGCAGTTGGTTAGTGTATAGTTTTTTCGAAGCTTTAGCATTCTTGGGCATATTATGCAGTTAGTGGATATTTTTTAAATCCCAATAGTTATTGGATAAATTTTAATTTTAATTTAAGTTAATGGAAATATATTATAATTTTGGTAGTAAAACGTTTTAATGTATTTGTAGTGTAAGGCTCCTTCCTGAATATGTTCCTCACTAAAAAAACCATGAGCACGTGGACTGAACAGCTTTTTATTTATAACTTTTTGCATTCTATTGGTTGGGTTTAGTTAGTCAATGATTCCTACAATTGAATCAAGATTGTAGAAATTATCTTTTCTATTCGTATCAACGCTGTTATGTGAAGGTCTAGAGCTGTCAACAACTTGGGCAATTTATGAGTGTCAGAATTCTCAAACTAAAATGTTATTATTAATATTTGGTAAGAGAATATTATTATTTCCTTATTCCCTTATTTCTAGTTAGTAGGAGAATATTTATTTATTTGGTATTTTCTTGTTTTGCAAGTTAGGGTTATTAGTATTGAGAGTCTTATATAAAGGACGCTCCTGCTTTATTGTTGGTTAGTAAATTTGATAATAAGAATTGATTGAGTTTTGTAAGTTTTATCGAGAGAGTATCTCTTTATCTTTCTCACTCGTACGCTTCCCTACATTAGTTGGTAACAGCAGTCAGTACGATCGCGATGCAGCCGAGACAAAAAAATGCCGCAAACAAACGACGTGATGCAACCTTCAACGATCGGTTTCAACAAATCGACTACCGATTTCAACAGTTTGACGTGCGTTTAACAGATTGGTTTGCAGATCCTTTGACGGGGATCGGGGATTTGCGTTTGACGCTTAACAACGTGGTCTGTGATTTACAGATGAACCGTGCCACCGGCGACCGGGGTATGCGCGGGGGAGTTCACAGAGAAGTGGAGGTCGTGGTCCAGGCGCCCGTTGGCGATGTCCACAACCGCCGCCCGGTGATGCAGACGGCGAGGAGACCATCTCGGAGGTGGATCCCTTCGGAGAGTGATCGCCTCCGTCTGTCGAGACTGATCTCGTTCCTGCGCACGACGACCAAGATGTGCGGCAACAGAGTGCAATTTTTTAGGAAGATGACGGGCTATTGTGCGATGGTCCGCCTTTCTTCGATGAGGAGCCTCCGGTTACAGAGACATATTTTTGCGGCAATATGGGTCCCGCAAGGGACGTCGCAGAAGTTGAGCCTTTGACAGGGATGTCGTCGTTCAAAAACATGATGTTTGGAGTATCTTGGCCAACGTTGGTTTTTCGGAGTCGAAGCCGAGACTCAATAACTAGTGGGCCATTTTCAGATTGTCTATCGCTAAGTCTCCCAACAACGGGATGCTTGGCCATAGTCATGGATTTGAGCGTTGTGAACGATGTGGTACGTTTGGTGTTAATTCCGCTGTGTGAGTTATGCATATGGAGGCGTGTACATATGCATTTGCTGAAGTTCAGTCCTTGCCCATGATTATGTTTACCATCGGGATTGTGGGATGACATTCATCCTTCGTGATCGATAGGGGAAAACGACGAATGATTCTTGCCATGCGTACGACTCCGATGGAGACGAGACCGGTTCGGATTCGCGGTCGAATCCTTCTCAACCGGGGGAGGATGATGGAGATGAGACCGCGATTGTGTTTCTAGA